TTGAAAAAATAAAAATAAAAATTAAGTCTTAGGATATTATTGAGATATGATCTGATTTCTCCTCAAATCGGCAAAAAATCACATCAAGTAACAAACTTATATTCATGTAAGTTTATATTTTAAAATGTACGAAAATAAGTGGAAATGTATGCACCACAATTTCATCTATAAATAAACTCACATTCATAATAAACTCACCGTTAACTTGATGCATCCAATAATATAAATTTATTCTCTTTTTTTTTTTTCACTATTTATCACTTTCATGTGATCCTAACTCTCTCTATATGTATAAGGCTTTTCATGAAGTCCCACCATTATTTGTCGAATTACAAAAACGGTTATATCCTAAATTCAAGAAATATGTCATATTCTCTTGAGCAAATAAAGGCACATTACACATAGCACTGTACTGTAAATCTATTATGAAATGCAATTATCGATTGGTTGGATTGAAGTAATTTTCATGCTCATTCCATTATAGAAGTTTTTTCCCAACTATATCTATAGCTATATATATATAATAAGAATAATCATTGATTAAAAATAGTTGTAAAAAAATTTGAGAGCATTTAATGCATACCTTTTTATAGAAACTTATTAATTATATGCATTAGTTGCTTCCATATACACATTCTGAAATAAGATCAAATCAGATATGATAATAAATATTGTTTTCTTAAATAATTTTATTAATATCTTAAATAATTTTATTGATATTCATTATAATAAATTACAAGATTGATTTTCATGATTCATGTTGATAATATTTTGGTCAAGATAAATATTATAATATATTTTAAGTTCTAACCATATTATTATTTTTTTTTCGCAAATATTCATTTGTTATCCTAAAATATTTATAGATAATCTTTGCCAACATAATTTTTTTGAAGCATTTATTTCATTATATATAAGAAATTAATATAATTTACCATTTAAGAGATAATGACTAGATACATTAAATAATTTACTAATGGTAAAAAATTAAAATTAAAATTAAAATTGAAATATATTATTGACAACCATGATTATTTTTTTATAATTTTTTTTGTTATTTCTATTACTTTATATATTGAAATTCTTGTAAAATATATTTTCATTGCAGAGTATGCGAAATAAACTATAAATCCTTATAATACAAATTAGAAAATCTTGATTATAGAAGGGATTGAGTTTTTGGCATTTGAGAAATCAAAGTTGTTTAATTAATCAGTATACAAAATTAAATTTTAAAAAAACATGTGTGTATATTTTGTAAAATATTTATATACTATTTAATTTTAAATTTATTTACATACTTTAAATTGATTACATAAATAAATAATACTAACGTGCATTAAATATTTTCCATTACATAAAATAAAAAGAACAAGAAGACGTACTACTGTTTTAACTTTATAAATAATAATGACATTATATGACAACAAAATTTATGATAAAATAATAATTAACTATTATACGGTGAACAAGGATAAGCAAAACTGTTATTTCTCTTATATCAAGGAATAAATATATATACTAAAATCAACTTTATATTTGTATAAATTTGTTATTGAGAAAATATATTAATTATTTGACAAGTTCGCCCTAACATGTTCATATTTAATGTTCTGGCTAAAAAAATGACGTTAATTAAAAGAGGTGGAAAATAAATTATAAGCCTATTGTTTTTTAGACTTAACGGTGATTAAAAGACGTGAATAATGGATGATAACTCTATTGCTTTTTAGACTTAAACGAACAGAGCATGTGAAAATAGCTCATTTAATATCTATGTCCCGTGCATAGCACGAGGTACGTACTAGTAATATGTGATTGGATACTAGGATATTCAAATATATTTATCAACTCAACCTTTCTTGTTTTCTTTCTCAATCACATTAACATAATTGTAAATGATAAATTATTATTATTATTATTCTTATTATTATTATTATTATTATTATTGGCACAATTAATGGCACAATTAAAACTATTTGTCAATAGTTCAAAGAATAAAAGCTCGAAATACATTCAATATAGAGATTTAATATAAGTTTGAATTTAAAAAAAAATATCGAACCCTATATGACTTATTGTTGAACCAAAAAAAAGAAGAAAAAGAAACAATACTCAAATAAGTTATAGTTAGATGATATGCCATCAAACATACCTTGTAATTGCCAATTATTGTGTTCAACTCATAGAAAATTTGATTATTTCCATGAAGTATTACTATTATGTAGTCCAAGGAAAATTTTGGAAATATATTTATGGATTTCAAAAATAAATTACAAAATCATATTAATTTATAATTTACATCCAAAAAAAATAAAAATAAAATCCAATTTTCCTTTTATTCCTTGGTCTCTCTCTCGCCAAATTCTCCCCCTCTCTGGTGATTTTGCAAATATAATTGTGTTCTAATTGTCTCTATCCATACCCATTTATATGTCTCTATGTAACGAAACACACACACACACACCCTAAAACTCTCTTCTTTCCCTATTTTTCTATTCAGAAGATAGAAACCCAGTTTGCAAAATATTTTCCCTTTCATGAATACAATTTAAAAGATTTATGTTCATATTTGTACGTATAGATACAAATTATTAATATACACACACACATACAAAGACCACATTGCGTCGCGCAAAGTTGGAAAAAATATCATACTCATCCGTTCATTCATAGGAGGAGGCTCAGGATCTCTTGCACAAGGCAAGAAGAAGGCAACATATAAGTGATTGAGGATTGAGATGAAGAGGTCTAGAGATGATGTATGTGGGAGTTCTCAACTCAACCAGCCCGCCATTTCTCCTCCCGTTGAACTGTAAGTTATCTTTGTAATAAGTGCGTGCCACCTGCTATCTATGGGAAACAAATATTAAGATTGTGTTATAAATAAAATATATATATAAAAAAAAAAATTAAATATATAAATAACATCAATCATGATTTTCGAAATCGTACTGCATGAGACACAGTTCGACCGAATGGATTGGGAACCAGATTTATCAATCAGTCCGGTTCGTTTGAATAAAAGTTTGCTAGCGAACTGGTCAACACCAGTCGTTTGAACTGTTAGGATCGATACGATTTTTTTTAAATAAATTTGATACATTGAAAATTATACATATTTAAATAAAATAGAGATTTGTAAATTATTTAACAATTGGATAAAATATTTAAAAATCTTAAATTGTTCAGATATTCAATTAATAATTTTTTAAAAATCTTAAATTGTTCAGATATTCAATTAATAATTTTTTATAAATTTATTACAAAAATACTATTTATATTAAAGTATTAATATATTAATTAAATTCAGGTCCAACCAATAAACTATTGAATAAATAACTTGATCAGTTCGATGACGGATGGCTCGAAGAATCTTGAATTTACCGTTCATTACTAAAAGTTGTAATACAGTGTCATTTTGTTCAAATAAATATTAATAATAAAATGATATATAAATATGCATGGATCATTGAACATGTCATATATTCATCCTTAATATGGTTATCTGGTGGAGCTTAGACTACATTACATTTATCGTAAATAATATATTTTTAATATTGAAATTTATATTTAGTTTCAATAATCGATTTGTTTGGTCAAACTGACCCATAACTTGGTTAACATGATCAACTCTGGTTGTGTTATGCTTTTTGACTATTTTAAATATCAACCAAAAGTAATTCAATCAACTTAGGAAGTAACCTAATTCAATCATCCAATTGATCTAAAAAAATTCCTTATTTTCCATAAATATACTTAATTTTCCATCAATATACTTAATTTTAGCAACAAAAAATATTTTATCGGGAAAAATAATTCTATTTTTAGAAAATGCCAAACATATATGTGTGTGTGTCATGTGTGTGTGTTTCTTTATTAACTAGTATGTAGTCCGTGCGCTACACGAAGTAATAATAATAAATTGTATAAGCTAAAGTTGAGAATGATCTTCGCATATTAGTAATATTGACTATTAATATTAATTTTATCTTTTCCTGTATTTTATTATATATAATAGGTTAATAAATAATTTTAATGTATTTCGCCCGTCATAAAATAGTTATCATTTTGTAATTAATGTTTAGAATTACAGAATGTAAAAATTAACATATTCTAACCATATTAATAAATAGTACTCACAAATTATTTTTTTTCTCTTCCCTTATTCATACCTTATTATAATATATTATTTCGATCCTTAAATAATGATGGTAACCTTAAAATTTGCAATAAATATTATAAAATTACATTTAATTTAAAATGGATGTTGTATATATTTAAGTAATAAAATTTACTAATTTTAATTACGTGTATGAAAAATCTATTTTAATTTTTTTATAATGTATATTATAAATATTTCAAATGTTTGACACTAGCTTGTATGCTTTCTGCGGCAAACATTTCAAATTTGTCCTATAATTTGGCAAAAGTAAAAAATTTCACCCCGTCATTGACAACTTTCAAATTGGGTCTAATAATTCGACAATGTAATCAATTTTAGTCCCTTTTTATCTGCACCTTAGATAAAAACGTGACGTGACGTAATGTGACAGTTTTTTAATGTGACATGACGTGATTGTGGTTATGTGATTGGATTAAACCTAAATCCACAAGGTCAACACCCAATTTCACAATCGTAGCAAAAAATATATTAGGTCAACAGCCGTCAGCCGCCACCGGCGGCCGCCCATAGACCACCTTTGATCAGAAAACTTTTTACATCATATTGAAGCTCTTTTCTTCTTCGTTCACCTCGTAAAATTTCCGACAAAAATTTCTACCGATAAGGCCGTCAATTGCTTCAGTCAAAGTTTTTAGATCTAGAAAATTTCGGTCATAATTCAGTCCTCTTCTTTAATTTCCCGGTGATCCACGGCGACCCACTGAAATCCGAGGACACATCCGGAGCGGCGATATCCACCATTTACAAAACCAGCAATTCCCGGCGACCCATTTTTTTCGGCGGGGCGACCTTTTTGTCTGGCAGACCTCCATGCTCAGGTCTTTGGCCGCCGCCAGCACCACAACTCGATTGCGTCCTCCGCGCACATCATGTGCGTCGCCCCATCCTCCACCTCCAGTCCTCCTTGCCTGGCCACCGGCGATGACATCACTAACCCCAGGAAGCCGACTTGAGGTCTGACTCGGAAGTCGAGGCTGCTGCTAGGGCTTGCCAGGGGCATGGGACCTGTCGTGACGTCGATGCTCAGCTTCCCGCCGGCCCTTGCATCCACCGTCGATGCTCAAACTCGAAAGGTCCTTGTCGGATGGAATATGTCGGCCATCACCAATTCGAAGGTCCAAGGCTTTGACACTGCCGGGATTCGAGAGCTCCGTGAAATCTGAAGTTCTGGGTTCTGACCGAGCTGCAAACAGCTATTGGAGAATGCAGCAAATCCAGACAAAAAAGTGAAGATAGTGAAGAGGGCAATTTCCATAAATTCAATTAGATCTAGAGGGCAAAATAGGGATTTTAGAAGAATCTTGTTAATTAGTTTCCCATGAAAATACAAAAATTAAATGAAAATGACACGGAATTTAGTTTAGGTGTTATTCCCACTTTTTTATATTTTTTTATTGTAATTTCTTTTTTCTTTTTTTTTGCAACTTTGTCCAGTTGTGTGTGTACACTTGACAGTGAGGGTGTCATATCATATTGGAAAACCGTAAATAGATCTGATTGGACGCCATGTCACGCCACATCATGTTTCTATCCAGGGTGCGGATTAAAATGGACAAAAATTGATTAAATTGACAAATTATTAGACCCAGTTTGAAAGTGATCAATGACTGGGTGGATTTTTGAACTTTAACCAAACTATAGGACTATTTTTTAATTTTTGCCTGCTTTCTGTTGTCATACAGCCTTTTGGTGTTGCTTACATGGTTTTCAATTCTGAAACTCTGCTAATTTTTACTCATTTATCACAGGAGATAAGTATTACATTTCTCGTAGATGATTCTTTATTTTATGGATAGATAGTTCGTTGCTATGATCATTTTATAATTAATAATAAATAAGATGTTAAATATTATTATTGTTGAAAAATCATAGGATGATCTTGCTGTGGTATAACATACGGATTGTGCTTGCTCATTATTTATTTGAAATATGCATATTGGTGGCTAATGAAGGTCTGGACAAGGTAAAATGTCAACTACAAGCGACCTGCAGTTGACTACAACTGATGCTTTGTCATATCTCAAAACTGTGAGAGAAGTATTTCATGACAAAAGAGATAAATATGATGAGTTTATTGATATCATGAAAGATTTCAAAGCTCAAATGTGAGTATCTATTCTTTTTGCTTCTTTAGCTACTGTTATTCCCTCAATATTTAAGCAATTTCAATTATGCTAATGATGGACATCTTATTTGAACTTTTGTTTGTAGAATTGATACAACTGGTGTTATAAGGAGAGTGAAAGAGTTATTTAAAGGATACAAAGACCTAATTTTGGGCTTCAATGCCTTTTTACCAAAAGATTACGAAATCACCCTCTCTTCAGATGAAGAACCATTTTTCAGGAAGAAGCCAGTCGAATTTGAAGAAGCTGTCAGTTTTGCAAAGAAAATCAAGGTGTGACTGCCTAATTAGCATCATATCTCTAGAAACCTTTCTGCCCTATTGCTTATCTCTTATTGTTTTATAAGCTAATCATTTCAAAATTAATTACAGGCTAGATTTCAAGGAGATGATCATGTGTACAAAGCGTTCCTTCACATTTTGAACTTGTACAGAAGAGATAATAAATCTATAACAGAGGTTTATCAGGAGGTATGTAACTACGTTTGATGTATGTAAAGTTTCATTTTTCGCAGATTATTTTTGTAGTATAATTATAAGCTTTTAGTTGCACTAAAAACCTAGGTAACTCTGGAAAGTATGGAAACCACCCTTGATGGGGTTTGGTTCCACTTACATCCCACCATCTATTGGCCTATAAAATTTACTATTACATCAAATTGTTCACCATTTCTCTGCATCCTTTCGGAAATTATAAGTTGTCCCCAATTGCCTCGTTATTTTGAATAATATTAAATTATTGAAGATGTAAATATAAAATATAACATAAATATAGTGTTGTTTAACCTTTCGAAAAGTTAAAGGAATGTAATAGATAAAATATATGTGATAGTTCTGCAAAATTTTAGGTAGTGTTTTCGACTAACATGTGCAGAGACAAGTACACAAATGTCAGTTTTTGTAATTTAATTTAAAATTTGGTTTTGTTTTCAGTTTATAAGAAAGAATTCTCCTTATTAAATACAATGAGGAAAGGAATTCTCCTTATTAAATACAAATTCTAGTAGTATGTATAGTGGGAGGAAAGAAGCAAGATTTATTGTTTTAAATATATACAATAGAGTTACAAATCATACAAAAATAAATCAAATAAATCTACATAATAACAAGATTTACACAGGTGGATTGAGAAATTTTAATGAGTCAGGACAAAAATTGTTAATTTTTTTAATTATATTGCATATAGTACTTATATTAAGAATTAAATAAATCGTTTGAGTAATCGGGAGTTGAGGGCTCTTATTCAATTTGTCTTTTACTTGATGCTAAAAAATGAAATTGAGAATGAAGTCTGATTATTTTATTTTATGTTTTTATTATTATTAAGAAATATACCAAAAATATTTTACAATTTTTTTCACATTTTTTTTGTAATAAGTTATAAACAAGTCATTTTAAGATATAATTTATTAATTTCAGAAAGGCCTAATTGTCATCATTTTTGTTCTTGTTATTTTATAAAGAGTTCCTTATGGATTATCTTATATATAAATGTAGAGTTTTTCCCTGTCAACTTTCACAACTTTGTAATTCTATATGTTAATTCTTAGGATTCGAAATAATCCATATAAATATTGATCTTTATCTAGAATTTTCAATTTTAAACACTTGACTAACTTAAATGGTAAATATATTTTAAAAGTTAATAACACTCATATATGTTATCATTTTTTATATATGATAATTAACGCTCATATATGTTATCATTTTTTGTATATGATAATTAAATTTGTCATATTTTGACAATCTATAATTTGACATTCATATTGTATATATAAATTAAAATAATTATATCTACCTGATCTCTATCAAATCTGACAAGTGAGGTGTATCATTTTAAATTAAAATAATAATATTATTTGGTAAGAATTGTTTAAAATTTTAAAATAAAAACTTGTATTTATATCTTTATAAATATTAAATATAAATTTTTAATTAATATATATTAACTATGTGAAGTGTATAGTTAGCACAAAAAATTCAGCCTAGGCTGGACCATATGTACACCCTCCCTTGGATTTACATAAGAATTTAACATAAGAAAAATACACACAATTAGTATAACACCCACCCTAAGTAAAAACATATGTATCATCCATGCCCAACTTTTGACATAGCTCACCAAACACTTCATGCTTAATGCTTAACTTTTTGTTGGGATGATGTGGGTAAAAGAAGTAACAATTTTTTAACTCATTACACAATCGTTGATAAACTGACAATCAACCTCAATGGCTCAATATGAAAATACGGTTACTACCAATGTGAATGCCCGGTTGGTTATTACAATACATAGACAATGGCTCATTATATCTATATCCCAGTTCTTCGAGTAAATTCTTGAACCAAAACTTCTCAGCAACAAATAGGTTGTCGCCCTATACTCTGCTTGAGCACTCCATATAGCAACAATGATTTGTTTCTTACTACACCATATCAAGAAAGTTCATCCAACATAAGTGCAAGTATAGAATTTGGCAAACCGATAAATAATCGAATAATTTGGAACATCGAGTCGTCTCTTGTAGAAGACTATTAAGAGTTTCGTTCACTAATTAGTTGTCAAAGCATAAAAAGAGAAAATTAAAGGTCCTATCTAAATAAGTTTGGGATTATTTTAAATTAAACTTAACTATGAAATTAAAAAAATTACCTAAAGTTGCAAACTTTAATTAAAGATTCAAACTTTACCTAAGACGGAGTCTTCAAAACTCGAAAAAAGACGAAAACAAAGAGAAATTAGCTGAATCTAACCAACTAGAGGCTAGAGTCAAATATTCAATTACGAAATAACCGACCTTTCAACAAAGTCTTGATTTTTACCTTGAAAGATTCGACATTTAACCAATTAATCATACTAGATAAGAAAACTAAAAGAAAAGATAGAACTTTAGTCAATCTACATGGATTCTGACCAAGATGTCATTTTTACCTCAGACACGTAGTAAGGAAAAGTAGAGCAACTTCGAAATAATAAGTCCTAAACTATGTACTTACTTTTCTATTGCATGGCCGAGTGAAATAAACGCGAAAAACTCAAAATTTTAATAAGAAACAGCATTGTCAAATAATGCGAGTCTTGAAGCTCCCGAGAATTAGAGATAGAAAAAAAATGGAAAATAGTTAATTCCCCAATTAGTCTATTTATAGTCACACCACAAAAACACACTAAAAGCACACGCATTTAATTAATTAGCACTTCGTGGGCCAGCGAAACTTGGTTCGCTGCGAGTTTTTGGCTTGGTTGGTCGAGGTTTGTCTGCTTACGGATGGGGTTTTGCCGCGAGTGTATGCATAGGCTAGGCTAGCTGGCTGCACTGGGATCTCGCATGCCAGCGAAGCATGGTTCGAAGACGAGTGTTGACGGGGATGTCACGCGGTCACAGATTGCAACTCGTTGTGAGTAGGGGTGAACATCGGAAACAAAAAAGAATTGCTATACCGAGAGACGAGTTCGAAGACAAACATCTAATGTCATGTAAAAGAACTTTATTAAAATGTGATAATTCATCTTTTACTTTTTTTTCCTGAAACGATAAATAATATTATAAATCAAAATGCACAAATATGCGAATACACAGTCCTTAGCTGAATGCAACAGTCAACAACTGAAAAAGTTGGAGGACAGGTCAGAAGACCGCCTAGAATCCCGACACTAGCAAAGCTAGAATAACAACACTCGCAACTACACTAAATCAACTACACAAACAACAAACGGAAACTACTAAAAAAGATCCCACAAGGATATACCCGAGTGTCCGATCCCAATAGGATAATAAGTTGACACTCGGGTACACAGATGCCAGCGGCCAAAACAAAAAACACAGACCTAAACTACACAAACACATACGGCTCAAAACAATAAAAAACAAAAACAAAAACCAACATTCAAAGCCCTTCCCCAGCAGACAAAGGGGTCCAGCCAGCAGAAAACAATCGATCCAAGGAAGCTCCCAAGGCCTAGGCACCACTACCGAAACTGCGAAACTCCTTATACAGAACCAGCTCCCCGCACCATCACAGCCCTAACTCGTCTAACACCACTAGCCGAGCTCGGGTGCTTCGGACCCCAACCGTTCCTAACACCAGAGGACCGGGGGTGAGAGCGGCCCGGT